GCATGTAGTGTGAAAGTGCTTTGAGTGGTCAGAAGATTAGAAAGGCGCTATACAAGTACAGGTCCATTTACCATTTACCATTGGTAATTGTGCTTCAAATATTATTTTTTTGGCCTTTTATGCCTTTATTTGACAGAGAAAGCTGGAGAGAGACAGGAAAGGGGGGCAGAGAGAGAGGGGCAGAGGGGCAGAGAGAGGCAGTGGTTCCCACGCCTTGAAATCAGTGTTTTGTTTTCAGTGGGTTTTGGTTGGTTAAATAAGGTCTGTGGTTAACACAAGCTTAAGACATTTTTCGGGTTTTGTTCTGAAAAAGCTTTCACATACTAAAAAGTGGCTAAGTGAAATTACAGAGGTTGTCGGTGTCATTAAACACCAGCACAAGAACACTTGATGATTAATGATCAAGCTAAAAGTTAGCTTTTTGCTTCTGGTGATCCCCTTTATGCATCGAAAATCATGAAAGTGGTGTTCATTTCATACGATTATCTGATGTAATAAGAAATACAACAAATTTAACTGGGTTGAGCTAGTACAGCAAACATAAGCTACCAGGAACCACGGAAGCACTCATCAGGAAATGATACACTGACCTCAGCACGTCAGAGGGTCACATCTTTTGCGGCATAGTTATATTATGTATTGGTTTAAAAAAAAAAATCAAATAGGTCAAACCTTTGGGGTTATTTTTTTTTAGATCAAATAACTTACTTGGCCAATTTTGACAGCACTAACATACACCAACTGAAATGCCGTCATCAGTGCACAAACTCTTTACTTTCTTTCAAGATCTCCAAAACAATAGCTACAGTGAGTGCATGTTGACCTTTGACCCAGAAAAGTGGAGCAAAGTATCCATTACACGTGCACAAGTCTGCCAAAGCTATGAAGGAACAAACAGAAGGGAAGCAGGAAGGAGAGATGGCAGGAAAGAAAAAGATGCTCTGTGGTGACTTGTTGTAAGAGGCTCCCAACGGACCTGAGCCTGGGCTGCAAGCCATGAACGGAGCTTTCCTCTCTCCAATGTGTGTGTGTGTGTGTTGGCAAGAGTTGTAGAAAATGGCCAAGCGTATTTTTTCAAATTGTCAGAACAATTATTTCAGCATCCATTCATTCTGATTCATTTTCTCAGTGTGAATACGGGGGTATTCACACTCGCCTACATCATCTTTAAAGCTGCAGTATGTCATATTTGCTGAAACTTTCACTATATCCTGACAGTAGTACATAAAACAGATAATTTGTACAACAATCTATTTCCTCTGGCTCCTCCTAGTACTCCTAATGGAATTTGCAAGAATCCACTGGGCCGAACGAATCAACCAATTGGTAACCAAAAATCATTTTTACTTTTATTATTTTCAGTTACCTACTGTAACTTTAAACCTGATTGTGCATTGTGGGTGCACCTTTTCTCAACACACAGATTTGTTTGCTCTGTAGTTGCAGCTAATAGAGCTCTTTCTGTCAATCAGTCAGTCCCACAAACACAGCAGAATCAGCACATGTACTACTGCAGCAACATATAGACGCTGATAAATAAAATTGGTTATCCCTCCTCTTCAACACATTTCTTGACGTTTTTTCGATCTGTATAAAAAACAAAACAGGAAGCTCCTTTCACCAGTCTAGTAATATGCTCCATTTGCAGTCAGTTGTATCCAGAGTGTGGTTGCGGCTCCCTGCTCTCTCACCTCGAAGGTCCCTGTTGAAGTCGTGCAGCCGGCGCACCTCGAGCTCCAGCTTGTTTCTCATGGTTTTCTCCAGGGCTTCCCTCTTGGAGGAGGACTTGGCAAGGTTTTCATAGGCCTCTGACACCAGCTGGATCTCTGTTTCCAACTGGCCACAAGCACAGGAGGAAAGAAGGGAAGCAGAGTTAAGACAGGAAGGAGCTGCATCAAACCCATTATGTAAATGTTTTTTCTCTATCTACATTCATATCCAATTACTGACATGTCTCAAAGATGGCCTCCACTGTTTTACAGCTGCTACAGCCTTGACAGGCACCATTGCTTTATTTGATAAAACGATTTTGTCCAAACAAATTGGATTACTTTTTTATGTTTTTTCTTGCATGCTTTCATACTGCAAAGTACCTTATCAACAGCATGATGAGCATTATGGCCCACACACAAACACCAACAAAATCTCTATGAATGATTATTCCAGAGGTGGGATCTGATGGCTCCTATCCATCTTTCCACACTACTTCAAGAATGTGTTCATAGCGTCACATTTAATTTGGATAGAATAAGTCAGCATATGTGTATTAGTCTAACATTAAACTCATTTAGCAGTTGTTCAAAGCAATGTACAATTCTTGCTTTTGCTTCACATATGCACTAGTTATTGCTGTGTACTAGTTACATGTCAGTCTAATTGTCTACAGTCCTCTTAGTGCAATATTCCTGCTTTGTGTTAACATTTCTCTGCCGCTGCTCAGCAAGGAGACAGTCTTTGGAAGCAAGAAGTCAGATTTTTATACTAAAAAGCTTTGGAAGATACCAACTTGCTTTTCCTAACTCCGACTGCTTAAGTCTCATATTAGCTCACCAAACTCAGCTTGACTTTAGAGTGCTTTTTTACACAGAACAAGAGATCATCACTTATACTGAAACTGATTTTACCATGTCAGTATTTTTTTAAGATAGTCTTCAGTCCAGTGTGTAACATTTAGTAGGATCTATTAGCAGAAATGGAATATAATAATCATAGGTAGGTTTTCATTAGTGTATAATCACCAGAACACAAGAATCATTGTGTTTTTGTTACCTTAGAATGAGCCATTTTTATCTACAGAGGGGCAGGTCCTCTTTTACAGAGTCGCCATGTTGAACCGCCATGTTTCTACAGTAGCCCAGAATGTATTAGTACTAGTCTCCTACACACTTAAAACAGGAGGGTGAGGTGAGGGATTAGTAATTTGCAACTACACTGCTAGATGCAACTAAATCCTACACACTGGACCTTTAAAAGAAATGGAACTGATTCTTTGCTCTTCTGTAGAAGATGTTACCTTGTGCAACTTGGTGACTTTCTCGCGGCAGGTCTCCATCTCCTGCCTCATCATCCTGTTCTCCTCGGTCAGCATGTCCACCATCTGGTGGGCACGTGCCATCATAGCAAAGGGTTCCCCTTGCATGTGGGAGAAGGAGTGTGGGTGGGGGAAATGTCCAGCCTGGACTGGCGGCTGGGGCTGGGGATGTGGAGGTCCTTGGAACTGCTGTTGCTGCTGCTGCTGCTGCTGCTGCTGCTGCTGTTGCTGATGTTGTTGTTGCTGCTGTTGATACTGCTGATGGTGCTGCTGCTGATAATGGTGCATCCTTGGGGTGGAGCCATAGGGGTCATGAGGGAAACCGTGACCTCTTGGCTGGTGAATGGGCCCTGGAGTGAAGGGCTCGCCTGCTTGGTGGGACCCGGGACCCTGAGGACTGCGGGACCCCATGCTGGGGTAGGGCTCTCCCTGGCTCTGGGGGTGCTGGTGAGGGAAGGAGGGATGGGAGGAATGGGAGGCGCTCAGCATGCTGCTGAGAATGGAAGACTGGGTGCGGGACAAGGAGCCCACAGAGGTGACGGAGGATGTGGGACTGTGCTGGTGAAGAGGCCTCTGGGAGTGAACTGAACCCTCCTTACTGGACCTGAAGAGAGATCATCTGTGTGATTATATAGTTCTCAATTTCAGCTGGTGTCTATTTGTGGGTATACAAAATCCTGAAAATGTTTCACAAAAAGTGTTACAGGCTGAGGTTGTTTTTTATTAATTTCCCTCAAATTCTACCCAAAGCGGTCTGAAACACGCTGTGGATGCTTTTTCTTTGTTTACTGAGAGCATTTGGTGTGTCTTTGGCCATCACCAACCACATATTAATTATAATCCTTATAATAACCTAAAATATTATTGAAATCGCAATTTGGCCAAGTCAAATATCCAAATGGCAGGAAGCTGCAATTTTTGATAATGGTAAAATGTGTGAAAAAACAGCAAATAATCAAGTACTGTAGTGCTCGAGAGATGACCTTGCCTACAAGTCTTAAATTTATTTATTTAATTATTATTTAATTAATTTTATTTTATTTATATAGGGCCAATTCATAACAGAAGTTATCTCAGGACACTTTTAGACCATACTCTTTATAAAATTATTTACAGAGACCCAACAGTTCCTACCATGAGCAAGCACTTGGCAACAGCGGCAATGATTAATTTGTAAGTATTTGCTGTACTATAATTGTAATTAAATGTCCTTGAAGGGATGTAGTTCTCTGGGTAGCTCCCCAGTGGGCAGTTCCTCTCAGCGAATCCCTAGAACTGTTTGGTCTGCAAAACGCCTACAAATGTCCTTTAGCTCAGTCTGATTCACCTGCTCTTCGCTTGCTCACTGAGCAGGTCTTGTTTTTGAATAAGGTGGGAAAATACCAGCTGTAAACTGGCTTTGTGCGGAGCAAACATTCCTGCCTTTAGCCCTCAAAGGAACGTCATCAAAGTCAAGCTGAACATGTCCCGACTTGTCCTGCCCTGATGATTAAAATTCTGTGGTATTCATGGCTGTTTGAATCTGGTTCCTCCAAGGGAAACTGACAGGTGTGAAACAGGCCCAACAGGATCCTTTCTCACCATTTTGAAAAAAAACATTGGGAAACCATGAAAAGTTGTCAACTTTTGTCAACAAAACTAAAAGCATTCAGTGTTTGTTACATAATTTCATCCTTGTTAGTGTGGAAACTAATACTGAAGAACCATTTTTGCATCATTGAACAATGAAACTCCTCATGAACCTGTGGGTGTACAGCTAGCTGGTGTACAGGGAGAACAGCTAGCATCAATGAGCTTGCTGGCACCAGGCGACCAGCCCAACTGATTGATAATTGATCATTTCAGTTCATAAGTTGGACCAAATAAAGTTAAATAGTAATCATGGGAAGACATCGGTGACTGTGTGTTTTTGTGGATAATCTCAAATTCAGCATTTTTCTCAGTTTTCCACTAGATGTGTTTTGTGGTACTGTAGTTGCTTATAATTTTTTATAAGATTTAACATTTATAGCACTAAAAATTTGTTTTTTTAACATAATTTATCACTATATGAAGTGTGTCTCGATTGAGAAATTCCCATGTATGAAGGTCAGAGGTCAGAACAGCTTTCCTGGAGTTGGCAAGGATTCAACATCTTGCTCAAGCACTCTTGATGCTTCTTGTTTTGCTCATTATTTCACGGCTCGCTTTGGTGGCTTCATGCCAAAGTAAAACTATTTGACAGTTGCAGTTACTGTGCGTAACCATCCAAACTACTTGTGATTCAATTAGCAATGAAATAAAAACAATACAAAGGAGGTCTAACAGACAGACAGTGCATGTGTGCTGTACAAGGGATCCTATATGAATTACAGCATAGCTGTGTAAATGCCTACTTTGCAAATGTACAAAGTAAAAAAACTGCTGGAATTGTATTTTTAGTTAGTTTAGTTAGTGCATCATTAGTTACCATATATCAGCAAATACAGAATTAATTTCTACCCAAGATTTCTTTTTCAGATTTCAGTAGCACAACACAAAAGAATTAAATGTGGACTGTTA